AGCTATCTTATCTACAATAGAAGTATTTGGTATATAATTAGAAACAGAGTAAGTAGTAATTAGACGTTATGGATATGCTTTACGTACACTTAACTTGATACTACGTGAATGTGATGATATACCTGAAATTAATGACAAGTATAGAGTTAATAATTTGAATTAATCTTCAAAGCTGAATGCATGTATATCTATATCCAAATGATGATGATGGCGATAACGTCGGCTCGTTGGATTTGACGGGGCCCCATGACTTCAAGAGTTCCGAGGAAAATGGCCGGAGGTGGATTTTCCTCACGCATGCATCATGCATGCAAAAGCCACCCCAAGTTTCGAATTGATTACACTATTAGATTAATTACTCTTAGATTAATAGCATGTTGTTCAAGTTGGGAATCACATTGGGGACATTCCTAAAAAGTTATATAAAACATACATCCAGAATCTCTCTTATTTTCCTTTTTGCTTACTTTTGATACTTCCGAAACAAATCATAAAAACAAAAATAAACGAGAGGTACGTTTTCTCATTAAAACAAAGTTCATTATTTTCCATTATTGAATTGTTCCAGTTTAGGAACACGAGAGAGAGAGAGAGAGAGCTCGGCCTCCATTAATTTGATTATGGGGTTGCTTCATGTAGTAACCAAACCAAGCTCAGGATCACTGAATAAGTGAGGAGAGAGAGAAAGAGAGACCTTCGTATTTTTATATAACAGTCTGTATGTTTGTTTGTCTACTTAGTGAGGGATCGATCCTCTGGTGGGGTATTATTATTTTCTTCAGAGGATGATAATAGATTTTTTAAAAGACAATGTCGAAAATGTTGTTGTTCAATTTGTTTGAATCTACATTTTATTAATCATTTTCAAATGTCTTTTTTTTTTAATCTCATCAATCATTTCTCATGAACGTTACAAACATTATTTTATTATCCCATTCAAACAATGAAAACAGGGGTTGCTTTTTCATTACACCACATGACATTGGGATTAATACTTTTGAGCATATTACAAGAGATGTTTGTACATGTTACAAGTAAGGACATAACAATCTCTGCCATTTCAGAAATAGATGAAGATGAATTTTCGTCTCTGTTGTTTTCCATCACAAATTCACAATCTGCAAAACAATAACAGTAGGCCAATGATTCAGGAAACCAAATAGTAAATAGAGCGAATAAGATCACTACAGTGTATATACACGAACCTTGCAATGCAAAGGTGGTTCATAAGGATAGTCAAATTCCTGTCAAACCTGAAGAAAAAAACATATAAATTAGCTAAAGAAATCAAAGAAGTTGGGGTTATTAAGTTAAAGAAAAACAGATGCAGAGGAATATATTACCTTTGATTTTCCCAGCTCGTGCACGCTTATTTATATATGGAGTGGCACATCTATGAACACCTAACAAGAGAACTTAAGGTTTAAGTTTTAATTTTGATTCTGGATTCACATATATGGATTTTGCAAACACCTCCATAAAATCTCCTGGTGGTATAGCAAAACAATGCTCTGGTTCCTTTTGGTAAGGAGAGATGAGACTAGCAATACAGATAGATCAGCAAATAATTTAGCGACTTCACTAACTCTACGAGTGTTTTCAGCTTTGAAACTAAGAGCATCCATATCAATGAACCCCAAGATGGGGTTCATTGAATCAATTTTTTATTATTAAAATTTTTTTGTTTTCTTTTTGATTTTCTTTTTAAGAAAAAAAAAAAAAACCTAAACCAATCCCGGGCCGCCACATGGTGAACCTTAGGAGAGAAGGATTCACCCGAGAGAACTTTAGGAGAGAGGGGTTCATAAAATTTTGTTATTTTATTATATTTTTTTCTTGATTTCCGTGTGAAACCCCCCCCCCCCCATAAACCCTCAATGGGGGTGCTCTAAGATCGCTGTTTAGACCATGTGGAACATTGTTGCCATATGAAAGGCTTTCCACGGTTCTACAAAGCTCAGCTAATGAGCAAAATGCCCAACTACTCTTCCCTGAAAAAGTAGAAACATTAAAAAATATCCCAAGTAAGTAATCAAGTAGGAACTTAAGAGAGAGATATTGTATTACTAGCTTAAGTCGTTCAGGTTTGGTTGTGATTGATATCTCTCTCTCTTAAGTTCCTAATTTCAGTACCATACAATCAATGATAAATTATAACACATACCTTGTATGAAATTGAGAAGAGAGGTCGACAGCATCTTCTTTATATCCAGATAAGCCTTCAACGTCAAGTTCCCTAGCGCAGCATCACTGACTTCTAACCTGATATACACGAGAAAAAAAAAACAAGAAACACACAAACAAACGACAAACAAATGGGGAAACTCTTAATTACCAAACTGATTTTGAGTGACTAAATGATCACAAAGTGTATAAAGGCAAATGACTGCATTTCTATTTGTTTCACACATTATGAATTTAGTGTCTACCAATCCAAAAAACTAGAATTTGATACTGGTTTTGAGTGACCAAATATGACAAATGTGTAAAGACAAAAAATGAAACTTAACGATTTCTAACGGACATATTGACTGCACGCTGCATTTCTATTTTTTTTACACACTATAAATTTAGTGTCTACCAATCCGCTTATCTAGACAATCACGGTTACTGGTTTTGAGTGACCAAATATGACAAATGTGTAAAGACAATAACGGACAAATCAAAGACTGGACGCTGCATTCTATTTGTTTTACAAATTATGAAAATTTAGTGTCTATCAGTCCAATAATATATAGAATTTCCCCAAAAAAGAAAAAGAAAAAAGAGGATTCCATACCTTCCTGTGAAGCTCACCTACGAGCAAAAAAATAAAAACATCAAGAGAAAAAAATATGAATTCAAAAAGTGCAGTAAGAAAAAAATCTTTGAATTCAAATTATACAATACGATGCCTAAGGTATTTAATAATCATATATGTCTTTCAACTTCTTGATTAATTCGACAATATAGTAGAATATGTAATTTGATTTGGTAAAATTAGACTTACATACATTGTTTATTTATTAATAAATATAAAAAGTAAAGTTTTAACTATCATTACTTATTTATTTATTTAGTCTTTCTTGTTTAAACTGTGAAAGTAAAAAAAAATGGAGAACTGACCTTTTTAATCTTGTAGCCATCTAGTACTAAAACAAGCAATTGGAGAAGCAGCTTTAGCAAATATATTTATGTCTGCAAGATAAAAAGGAAACTTTGTTATTTTACACTCAAAGATCTAGGGAAAATTTCAAAATACTTAAGAGAATCCATCAGCCACAAACCAAAGACTGTCCTAATTCATTTTGCTTCATTATTCTATATCTCTCTGTGTGTCTAAAGCATTTTTTAACAAGCCATGACAACAAGCTACTTGAGTAAAAGAGAAACCAGATGCTTTACCTTCCAAAAAAAAGTCTCTGATGTTCTTTGAGTAGATGTTGCTCTCACCGCTGAATAAATCTTTGCAGATTTGAGTTGTTGTTGTCGGGTTCTCTGCTTGCTCACTCACTCGTTGATGTCTTCAGCTTCTTCTTGGACGAGCTCAGTGTTCCAAGGGAAGCACCAGTTTTATTTATTTATTTATTAACAGAAAAGAGTAGCTTGTAAGCTGGTTTATTAATAACAAGAACAAGTTTGAAAGGCTGTAGCCTGTGTAAATCTGTAATGGATAGAGAGAGAGAGGAGACTGATCTATAGCACATACCTTGTATGAAATTGAGAAGAGATGCAGAGAAATCAGAATCTCACGGCTGAGATGACAAGTAGTGCTTAATGTGATTTGAACTCATATATCTGCAAAGCAAAACATAGAAAAATTTGAATATCAAACTAAACAATACGATTCCTAATAAGGCTAAGGAAAATCAAAACTATCCAAACAGATCTCTAGTACGTACCTCTATCTATCAGTTGATGAGCGAATCAGTTGGATCCGGTCTAGCTTCGTACATTAAATAGCTCCCGGTTGTATCTAAGGAACGGAGAAGGGAACGCCGTTGAAGTTTCTTCCGAAAAGTTCTCTCCGAGAGAGAGAGAGAGAGTGGGTGTGGATCTGAATTTATAGGCGAAAAGAATATATCCAGCAACGGCTACTTCCGATTTGACTACTGACTCTACTCCCTTTGGCATGGCGTATAATAGAAGACAGTCGCATAACCCGTACCCGGTTCAATTAATGGGCCTTATTTTCAATTTGGGCCGACAAATTTAAGCCTGATGAATAGCGAGTTGGCACCAACTTAGCTAGCCCCATATATATTTATCTTATTCTCATTCTCAGATCATCCAAAACAATGTCATGGAACGTTACAATCTTATGATTTTATTAGAAGAAAACCCTTTTGACTTTTTTTTTGCGCAAAATACAATGTTCAATTACTTTTTCGATTTGAACAGTTACTTATGTTTCACACTTTATAAGAAACACAGTAGTTAGTGAAAGCAACTGGGACACAGCCGTATTTCTCTTATAGTTGAACCAATTAAGAAGAGAGTTTGCTCTTCTCTAGGTTCAGAAACTTGAACACGTAGCCGGGACTCTTGTGGAGCTGATATCCTGCGAGTGTTGAGATCCGGCATTTTGAATACCACGTATAGAAAACTACATTCACTACTAGACATTGTTGACAAAGAGTTTCTGAGTTCATGTTGGGATTAAAGATCCCACATCGGAAATATGAATGGGACATAAGTAATATATAAGGGATTTGGGCCAATCCAATAATTACAAATTGGTTTTAAGTTGAAAGCCCAAGAAACTTATCATGGTATCAGAGCCCGCCCACCCCCTGACCCATTAATCCACCCCGAAAAGTGGCCCGATCAACCCATTAGCTGATGGCCCAGAGAAAGCTCAGTTCTATCGAGATTGCTAGAAGAAAAAAGCATTGTCTCGGTATCTCGAGGGAGGGTGTTGGTATTAAAGATCCCACATCGGAAATATGAATGGGACATGAGTAATATATAAGGGACTTGGGCCAATCCATTAATTGCCAGTTGGTTTTAAGTTGGAAGCCCAAAAAACTTATCAGTTCAACACACATATCATCGGGTAGACGAGAGAGTTTGAATCATCAATACTTGGGATAAGGTAAATTATGTTTTACTCACTTACAACATATATACAATTTGATTAGAGAATAAAACAGAAAAAAACTTAAAATCTCAGAGTGAGTATCACTATGGCTTGAGCTAGCTACAACACATCGCTAATGAATTTTTCTGTGAGTTCCTTAGGAAGTCCCATGACTGTATCAACTCCTCCCACCTACAACATTAAAGAGATGTTTATATATGTATTATTAATAATGTTTCTGAACATATAACTATCTATTTATCTATCTAGCTAAGCAAATATGGAGAAAACAAAAAAAATATGCAAGCTTATTATATCGTGATGCTGACTGACCACGGTGTCGATAAAGGGTGAAATGAGGGGATGCTCCAGGGTTAAACCTCCAGCAACCTTGAAAGTTATGGCATCATCAATCTGAAGATTGAGAACACAAAGTTATAGATGTTAAACAGACTGAGTTGATAGTAAGAAATTAAAGCAGAATGGGTTGAGGTTTTACAAGATCGTCAATGACTTTTTCTGGTATCTCATGGAAATAAACCTGTCACATGATTACCATAAAATCAACACAACCCACAAGAAATCATTTACTTTTACTCTTATGATAAAACAAGTAATAAGATGGAAAGAGAAGAGAATTAAGCACATGTAGTCATGTTTAGGTGTGTACCTCAGCTTTGTCCCATCCGCCTCTTCTCACACCAGTTTTTAAGTTGCTTACTATAACAGAACCAACAACGCCACCGTGTGATCCGGAATAGTCTGTATTGGTTTCATACAGAAAAAGGGGATAGCTTAAGTCACATCACATCCTTTTATTTGCATTTACTTAATTAATGGCTACTCTACTATTACAGAACAAACTGAAGTTGCGCAAAGAAAAAAAACAAAAGAAGGTGACCTTTGATGAATAGGCGAGCTTCTTCTTTGGTGGTTGGTTTTTCTCTGATGGCACCTTTGTACACAACAACCTAAGAATATACCCTCCCCCCATCAGCTCAAGATAAAAGAACTAATCACAAGAGAATAACTTATAATTTAAAAAAAAAGAAAATCATAAGCAATACAGTGTCAGCAGTAATCAACAAGGTTGGTTGAGGATCCTGAGCAAATTGGCTTTGACCTCCCAGTTTCGATATTATCTCATCTGCCTAGTTATAGACCAATATAGACAAACAAAAAAAAGAGACATATATTTCTCAAAACCAGTAAGTAAACAATATATTAGACGAGGAGGAGAGTACCTTGGCTTGAGCGAGGGCGACAACCAAGTCTTCAGGATTGTCTCTCCTTATAGCTTTCTCATCAATGTCTGCAGTCTTCAACATACCATACATAATCACTTGAGACTGTTATACAGCCAAAGTGAAAACTAAACACTAACTTAATCAAAGAAGCGTTACCACGATAGTGAAATCATATCCCATTTCATCCATAATATTTTTTCTGGCCATCGATTGAGATCCCAGAATCACCTGTTTTCGTACTCGTGTTCATTAGAACAAGGAGAAGAATAAATATATATATTTTAGCATCAGCAAAAACTTTTTCCATTCCATAATCAAAAAAAGCAAAGAGACCTTGAATCCTCTCTCCATCACCTTCGTCGTCGTCGCCATCCTCGTCTCCTTCTCTATGCGGAAGACTGAAGAAGGAAATATTACAACCAACAAAAATACACAAAGCGAATGTTTGACGACCATCACTAGTTTATCTTTATTCTCCACTATTTCAACTCTCTTTTTATACTTTTCTCCGATTTTCTTTTTGCTAAGATACTTTTTTTCTAGAATATTTGCAACTCTTAACTGTATAGTATGAGCCATGTATTGTAATTTCTCAAGTATATGTGGACTGTATTACAAGTTATTAAATATAGTCTATAGATTGGGAATAAATAAATACTGTACGTACTAGAAAGTAGAAAGGGGGCACATATTGTAAATATTAATAGGATATGGGGCTTGTTTTTGTATCAAACATTATGTGTTTAGTGAGTCCTACAACTAATGGGCCTATTTTGTAAATTATGAAAGCTATGTGAGCTAAAATAAAGCCCGAAAGAGAGAACAGCTGTGTAATTGGACTACGAGTTGACCGCGTAGGATTTCTATGCCGGAACTCTAAACTTTCAGGATTAGTTTCCTTAATTACGTTTAACTGTTATGGTTCCATGAAGGACACTTCAAGGCTACACGGTGTATTCTACGTATAAGTCCAAAAGATAATCCAAGAAAACAGCCTCTAAAGAAGGGAACCTCTTGCGCCCATATACTACTTTTAGTTCCTGGCATTAATTTGTTCTTCTTTTGGAGTTTTTTTCTTTATTCTCTTGTGTCTTGTCACTGCCTCTCTTTTGTTTTTGTTTCGTACGTACATGTGGTCAAAGATTTCGTTGACGGTTTGTTAACTACTATAATCGTGTGAGCTAATGATAATCGATAAATATACTCTCACAAAATAAATAAAATTGAACTTTGAGTAACATTGTCATGCAAAATAAATGTAATTATGAACGGAGATGCTAACTTATAATGGTGTAAATGGACGACACGATCTGTATAGTATGAAAGATTTAAGAGGTTTGAGACCTAATATTTTCTCAAGAAAATATAGTTTTTGTATAGGTTACTCCAACTATTATGTTGTATATGAAATTTAAATAAATTGTTCATTGAAAAATTAGAAATGATGTTATGTACCATGAAAATAAGTTTGTTATATATATATATATATATATAAATTTAGAGTGTGGCTAGAAATTTTAAACAACACTAAAGAGGCTAAATAGTATAGATATCATTTATCGAAAAATTTAGTCTTTTCGTAGGGGTTAACTACATATTTTAAAAAGATTAGAAAATATAATATTTTTCTTTAATGCATAAATGCATCATACACTGACATATTATGAAGATTAAAGAGGTTTGAGACTTTAGGTGTTTCCGTTTCTCTAGAAAATAGAGATTTTATAGGAGTTATTTCACTAATTAGATCGTATATGAATATTAATAAATTACTCGTTGGAAAATTAGAAATGAGTCTCATGTAACATGAAAATATGTTTAGCATATATTAATATACATTTAGAGTGTACTTAGGTATATTTAAACATACATTAATGAGACTAAACTTTAGGATATCTAGCATTTATTGGATTTTTAAAAAATATTTTATTAAGATAAATTAGAAAATATGATATTTTGTTTTAATGCATAACTTAATCATGCACTGACATGTGATGAAGGTTAAAGATATTTGCGACCTTAGTTGTTCCGTTTTTAAAAAAATACAGATTTTATAGGGGTTAGTCTACTGAATTAGGTGGAATATGAAGTTAAATTAAATTACTCATTAAAATATTAGTCACGATGCCTATATACCATGAAAGTAAGTTTAACATACATTAATATAAATGTATAATGGGATTAAGTATTTGTTAATCAACAAGAACGAGCCTAAACTTCATAATATAATATTTATTAGAAAAACTCACAAATTTCAAGATAAATTACTCATGAAGTTTTACTCATGAAGTTTTATTTTTAGTCTACTGAATTAGGTGGATCATGAGGTTTTATTAAATTACTCATTAAAATATTAGAACTGATGCTCACTTACCATGGAAATAATTTTAACATACATTAATATAAATGTTTAATGTGATTATGTATTTTTAATCAACAAAAATAGCCTAAACTTCAGAATATAGTATTTATCGGCAAAACTCAATTTTTTATAATTCTATATTTTTCTAATTTATTTTGAAATATTCTCAAGTTTAGGCTCTTTTTTGTTGATTAAAAATACCTAATCACATTCTACATTTATATTTATGTATGTTAAAATTATTTTCATGGTAAATGAGAATTAGTTCTAATATTTTAATGAGTAATTTAATAAAACCTCATGATCCACAAAATTCGATGGGTTAAGCCCTATAAAAAATCGAGTTTTTCTGATAAATACTATATTCTGAAGTTTATGCTGTTTTTTGTTGCTTATAAAAAACCTAATCACATTATACATTTATATTAATGTATGCTAAACATATTTTCATGGTACATGGTCATCATTTCTAACTTTCCAACGAGTAATTTATTTAAACTTCATATACAATCTAATTAGTGTCCTAACCCCTATAAAATCTCTATTTTCTAGAGAAATGGGAACACATAAGGTCTCAAACCGCTTTAATATTCATACTATGTCAGTGCATGATGAAAATATGCATTAAAACAAATTACCAAATTTTCTAATTTTTCTTGAAATATGTGGGTTAACCCCCCTACGAAAATATTGAATTTTCTGATAAATGCTATCTATAATTTTTAGACACTTTAGTATTGTTTAAAAATACCAAACCACACTCTCAATGTATATTAATGAAGGCTAAACATATTTTCATGTTAAATAGTCATCATTTCTAACTTTCCAACGAGTAATTTATTTAAACTTCAAATACGATCTAATTAGTGTACCTATAAATTTACTATTTTCTAGAGAAATGAGAACACATATTGTTTCAAACCTCTTTAATTTTCATACTCTGTTATTGCATGATGAAAAAATGCATTAAAACAAAAATACCATATTTTCTAATTTTCTTGAAATATGTGGGTTAAGCCCTACAAAAAAATTTAATTTTCTGATAAATGCTATCTATAATTTTTAGACACATTAGTGTTGTTTAAAATACCTAACCACACTCGAAATGTATATTAATGTAGGCTAAATATATTTTCATGGTATATGTTCATCTACGAGTAATTGATTAAACTTCATATACGATCTAATTAGTTTACTAGTCCCTGTAGAATCTCTATTTTCTAGAGAAATAGAAAAAGTAAGGTATAAAACCTCTTTAATATTCATACTATGTCAGAGAATTATGAAAATATTTATTATAAGAAAAAACCATATATTTTCTAATTTTTCTTGAAATATGTGGTTTAATCCCTACGAAAAATTGAATTTTCCTATAAATGCTATCTATAATTTTTTAAAACTTTAGTGTTGTTTAAAAAAGCACACTCTCGCTGTATATTAATGTAGGCTAAATATATTTTCATGGTAAAGGTAAAACAAAAATAAAAAACTTTCAAATTTTTCTTGAAATATGTGGGTTAACCCCTTTGAGAAAATTGAATTTTCTGATAAATGCTCTCTCAATATTTTAGACACTTAAGTGTTGTTTAAAAATACCAAACCACTCTCTCAATGTATATTAATGTAGTCTAAAAATATTTTCATGGTACATGGTCATCATATCTAAATTGCCAACGCGTAGTTTATTTAAACTTGATATACGATCTAATTAGTGTCCAAACCTCTATAAAATCTTTATTTTCTAGAGAAATAGGAACACATAAGGTCTTAAACCTCTTCAATATACATAATATGACATTTAATGATGCAAATATGCATTAACACAAAAATAAAAAAAATTTCTAATTTTTCTTGAAATATGTGGGTTAAACCGCCTTTGAGAAAATTGAATTTTCTGATAAATGCTCTCTCAAGTTTTTAGACACTTTAGTGTTGTTTAAAAATACCAAAACACACTCTCAATGTATAATAATGTAGTCAAAACATATTTTCATGGTACATGGTCATCATACCTAACTTTCCAACGCGTAGTTTTTTTTTACTTGATATACGATCTAATTAATGTCCAAACCTCTATAAAATCTCTATTTTCTAGAGAAATAAGAACACATAAGGTCTCAAACCTATTCAGTATTCATAATATAACAGTTAATAATGCAAATATGCATTAAAACAAAAATAAAAAAATTTCTAATTTTTCATGAAATATGTGGGTTAAACCACTTTTGAGAAAATTGAATTTTCTGATAAATGTTCTCTCAAGTTTTTAGACACTTTAGTGTTGTTTAAAAATACCAAACACACTCTCAATGTATAATAATGTAGTCTTAACAGATTTTCATGGTACATGGTCATCATATCTAAATTTCCAAAGCGTAGTTTATTTAAACTTGATAGACGATCTAATTAGTGTCCAAACCTCTATAAAATCTCTATTTTCTAGAGAAATAGGAACACATAAGGTCTCAAACCTCTTCAATATTCATAATATGACAGCTAATGATGCGAATATGCAGTAAAACAAAAATAAAAAATTTCTAATTTTTCTTTAAATATGTGGGTTAACCCCTTTGAGAAAATTGAATTTTCTGATAAATGTTCTCTCAAAATATTAGACACTTAAAAGTTAATTAAAAATACCAAACCACACTCTCAATGTATATTAACGTAGTCTAAACATATTTTCATGGTACATGGTCATCATACCTAACCTTCCAACGCGTAGTTTTTTTTTACTTGATATACGATCTAATTAGTGTCCAAACCTCTATAAAATCTTTATTTTCTATAGAAATAGGAATACATAAGGTCTCAAACCTCTTCAATATTCATAATATGTCAGTTAATGATGAAAATATGCATTAAAACAGAAAAGAAATTTTTTTGAAATATGTGAGTTAACCCCTTTGAGAAAATTGAATTTTCTGATAAATGCTCTCTTAAGTTTTTAGACACTTTAGTGTTGTTTAAAAATACCAAACCACACTCTCAATGTATATTAATTTAGTCTAAATATATTTTCATGGTACATGGTCATCATATCTAACTTTCCAATGCGTAGTTTTTTTTTACTTGATATACGATCTAATTAGTGTCCAAACCTCTATAAAATCTTTATTTTCTATAGAAATATGAATACATAAGGTCTCAAACCTCTTCAATATTCATAATATGTCAGTTAATGATGAAAATATGCATTAAAAAGAGAATATTTTCT